CAATTTTTTTTATTTTGTTTAAGTCTGAATCTTCTAGTGATATGGTCTTTTTTATCTGATTCTGTATAACTTTCAATCAATTTTTTATAATAGTCTATTTCGTTTAAAATATTATTGTGAGAATTCGTCATTTGAAAACTTTTTTTGTGTAAATATATTAGAACTAATATAAATTATAAAAATATAGAAAGATGTTTAAAAAAAAATCTGATAATTAAAATGATTTATATCAACCAGCATTGTGTATATTAAATGCTAGCTAAGATGGTTGTATTTTATATATTATAATAATCAAGTTTTTATATTATGCTATTCTATAATTATAATCATATACATACTGTATAAACTTGTTTTTTTTTAAACTTTAACTTAATAACTTTTTAACCATTTATAATATACATTATAATAAATATAGATATTTTAATCAGTCAACCTTCTAAATTTTTAAAAAAACATTTTAATAAAATAAATAAATTATAAATACTTTGTACATTTAATATTGATATTTCTGATAAAACTATTGAATATCGATCCGTTATAATCACTTACCTAAACGTTTATGCTATGTTATGTTTTTTACTATCATGTATTATTTTTTTCGTTTTTAAAAACTAGTAAAGATGTAAAGAGTTTTAGATGGTTTTTTAAAAAAAAATATATATAAATAATGAAATAGGTAGATGCTTACGTAGATAGCTGTTCGGTTAAAGTATTTTCCAATGTTAATGATGCCGGTACTGGACTGGTAAACTATGCAGGATTGAAGTATTTTCAATGTTCGATGGTAAATTCCTGTTGATGATGTCGATGGTAGACTGTTATACTTTATGGGATTGAAGTATTTTCAATGTTCGATGTCGAATGTCTGTTCCTTGTTGTTGCTGGTGGAGAACACAAGCTGAACTGATATCGTTTGAGTGGCAAATTCTGGGTTATATAGTCGAGAATCATCTCCTACTTTTCTAGTTGTCGTTTAAAAATCACATTATATTCAAAGAAATCGAAAAACGTGTTAATGTAATATTAATTTTAAAAACAACTAAGTTATTTTGTAGTAATAGTAATTATAATATATTATGTATGTATTGGTGTTGACCGTCGTCGTCCGGGATATTCATTTAAAAATAGCAAGGTTAAATTTTGGGGTGTTGGCGGAATAAAAACTAGTATTAATAGGAGGTCATATTATGACCGTTGATGGAATAAAACTTATATTAATAAGAGGTCGAATTAAGGGCGTTGGCCGGTTTAATATATCCGATAGCATTGCTTTGAATATTTCACATTTCAAAGTTACTATGGTAGTGGAAACATTACAGTATAAAAGGCTAGCGTATCGACAGCAATATTACAGTCAACATCCAACAACTGGAACTTCGCAGTCAACATCCAGCAACTAGAACTTCTTCGTCCTCTTCATCAATTCAACATTCAATAATATTCAACGATGTCTTACAGAACTTCGATTGTCGATTCTGGATCAGAGGTGAGTAAATGAATTACTTTAATAACTAAAGCAAATTGTAGGCCAGTCGTAAAACTACTCAACGCTATGGTTATAATTCCGATCTATCGGACGGTATTTATATGACAATAGTGTAATAGTCAGAGTATTCCGGCATTGCACTGATCATACATTCGTCTCAGTTAATGGGGCAATAGTTAGAGTATTCTAGCATTGTACCGACTGACATACCGTTCGATAGATTCAATTCTCAGTCGTGCAATTCTGTGGTAAACCACTCATACATTTATGAAAAAAAAAAAAAAAAAACAATCTGTTAATATAGCAAATTTAATACTATAATTTTTTATAGTATGAATTTAACGGATCTGTAGACATGAAAATGAAACCTTCCACTTCAAAGCAAACTAAAACAGCTCTCAAAAGAGGGGCTGAAAAAGTGATTGACAAGAGAAATAACAAAAAGATTAAACAGGCAAAAACAGTAAGATAAATAATTATTTATAATCTTAATACTTTTATCTAATATTCTAAGGTGATGAATTATAGCATGAATTTATTTATTTATTTTTTTTTAGAGTTCATCTTACAGGGAAATCTTTGAGGAGAAATTGCGGACTGAAGATTTCGATGAAGAAATCATCAATTCGGTAACCTTCCGGCAGGGAGATGGTTTGGCTACCATCAAAAGTCAGTTTAATCCAGAAGAGAAGGCAACCGACTATTGGACAATAACACACTATAAGTGTAAGAACATAAACAAAATTCCATCAAAGGAGAGGTAAATACTAGACTTTGGTTTACTTTTTAATAAAAAAACTATTGCTTATAATAAAAAATAAATCAACTGTTTCTATTCACTGTTCACTGAATAATTAATTTATGTTACAGGTGGCGTCACTCTGAGGCATCTGTTAAGATAACAACTTCAGATAAATCAAAAGACCAGACTTTAAATACAAGTTTGAATGAGACCATGCAGGTCATCTTCGACGTGATTTTGAAGGATCCAGAACGTCGTACGATAAAAAGTAATTTAGCATTATGAGTGTAATATTCTAAAAAAATATTTTTTATTTAATAAATAAAACATTACATAAATATAAATGAATTTGTATTATATTACACTATTAAGTCCTGTAAAATCATGTCAGACATTGCGTTAAAATGAAATTGTAATATTTCGTACAAAAATGAAGTGTCGTCGTTTTGTAGATGAGAATAATAATTAAAATCATAGTTTTGTATATACTGGTTTGTGAATTCGTTCCTCTGACAACTGATGGGCAAACCTCGGACATCGTTTTTAATCAGCTCATAAGCTGCATCAAATGTTGCTTGAAAACTCTGTAGACGTTTCTGTTTTTCTGCGATATAAAGGTCCACACAATGCTGAAGTTGTTTAAGTCTACAGAAATCTATATGTGAGAGTGTAATATAATCATCATTTATATGTAAGGTTATTGAACTCTGCTTCACATTAATTGAATATGTGAAATTCTCGGTGATTCTTACACGTCTACACCTGGTATGTAAGTTGTTAGTAATTGAAGTGTAATTAGATTCAGACATAAGCGTACACCATTGCTCTAAATTTAATGTAATAATTTTTTTCGTTAACTTGCACTCTAATAACACAATAATCGAAATTTGTTTGCTGATTAATAGGCCGACTGTAACACTCTTCTTGCCAAATGGACGTATGTCAAATACCGATTTTGACACAATTACCGGTAGACCCATAACGAATTAATGTTCTTTTTTTAAATAATTAAATAACCTTTCAAACTATAAACGTAATTATTTTTTTAAAATTGATATAAAGTTTTTTTTAAATATTTAAAAAAATCTTTCAAACTATAAACGTAATTATTTTTTAAATTTGATATAATATAACCGATGGGAGATATCCTTTGAACTGAAAGCATTTTTACTTTGTGAGCGTATTATATACTAAACCTGATAGATAAAAAAAAAAAAAAAAAAATGCAAAAAATGTGAGCGTACAGTATAGTCGACTACTGCGTCCAGTGGAGGGGAGAATTACATATTATACTTACCTGATACCTGAAAACATTTAAATTAACACTACACGCAGTAATCCACTAGACCACACGCTCACGAGATATTACATCAAATAATAACACATATAAGTTGTTTTAAAAAAAATCACCATTTATTTTTATTTACTATAACATGATTAGCATACATTTAAATTATTTCTACACACACTAACCTCATTAGTCTATACGATCGTGAGATATTAAATCAAATATTAACACATATAATTTGTTTTTTTTAAAAAAATCAGCATTTAATTTTATTTAGTGTAACATATAATAAAAACATGATTAGTCAACAGTAAAAAAAAATCAACATTTTATTTTTATTTACTATAACATAATATAATAAAAACTTGATTAACAAACAGTATCGTATGATTCAGATTCACAACTGTGAATATGTTCGGTTTTACAGTATTTACTTAATACATTTTGAACATACTGATTACCCTTCATTAATAATACATATAAACATCTTGGACTGAATCTGCAATGTTCAATCCATGGGTCGTCCAGCCTTTCCCAGTTATGAAGAATAAGACCACAACAAAAGCATTCCACGACATCATCCACTCCTGAATATTTTAAGCCACATTCGGACAATGTATATTTATTTTGAGAAGTATTTAACGGGAATAATTTGAATGTTTTAAATCTTGATGCAAACGATGAAAATTTTGGATGAGCCATGGTCGGATTATTTCGTATACGATAAACTAATGATTCAAAATCATTCGGACATTTTTGAAAATTCATTTTTGGAGAAATTAAATAACTTATACAATGTAATAAAACTTCAAGAATATAAAGAAAAATGAGACACGACTTAAGTGAACGGCGGATCATTAGTAACTGAATATGAGAAAATGATCAGCTTATAACTAAAAATTGTATACATTTTTTTAGAAAAATACCGACATTCATTAATTAGATCAATTGCAGTGCAACCAACATAAATGTAAATGCGAATATAGTAATTATTATTTCATTTTAGTAATAAGGTTTGTTGAGAAAAAAACATTTAGTGTGTACACTGTAAATATTTGGACAAAACTGACTTTGAGAGTGCAAACTCTTCATAATTTTTACACGGTAAAATTATTGTGTCCAAGGGGGACATCCTCCCTTGGACGGTGTGAAATTACCGTGTAAAAAGTGTGTAAATTCTTCATAATTTTTACACGGTAAAATTATTGTGTCCAAGGGGGACATCCTCCCTTGGACGTTGTGAAATTACCGTGGTGACACAAAAAAAAGACTGTGAACATACAAATCTATACTACTCACTGACATTGAGGTAACTATACTGTATACATAATAATGCTTCTCAGTTCTCATAATAAAACTTTAGGACATAATGTACCTTAATACGACTTTCTTAGTTATTCCACTTGTTTACATTCTCATTCTCATTTAATTTATTACCTTATACGCATAATATACTTTGTAAAAAATAATTTTTTAACAGGTACATGGCTACTGGTGAGTCATTTCGATCGCTATCGTTTAGTTTTCGAATATGTCATACATATATAAGCAGAATTGTGAAGGAAACGTTACTGGTTTTGAAAAAAAGTTTAAAACCGATATTTTTACCAGATCCAAGTGAAGTTGATTTCAAAAAGAAAGCAAATGAATTTTGTTACAAGTGGAACTTTCCCAATTGCATTCTGGCCATTGATGGCAAGCATATTAGAGTTCGGAGTCCAGATAATTCAGGGTCATTATTCCATAATTATAAAGATTTTTTTTCCGTCGTTTTGTTGGCAATGGTCGATGCTAACTGTAAATTTGTGGTGGTGGATATAGGATCGTATGGGAAAGAAGGAGACAGTGGTATTTTTCTCAAATCCATTATGGGGCAACAGATTTTAAATGGATCATTTAGTTTTCCAGAGGATTGTTCTCTTCCAGGTTCTGATATAATTGTCCCGCATGTAATCGTTGGGGATGAAGCTTTTCGTCTACACACGCATATAATGAAACCCTACTCGAGAAAATCAAGCAGAGACGATTCTACAAAAACGGTATTCAATTATAGACTTAGTCGAGCTAGACGTGTGACTGAAAACGCGTTTGGTTTGCTAAGCCAAGTTTTTCGTGTTTTTTATCAACCCATTAACCTCGAAATGTCGACTTGTGACGACTTGGTATGGGTAGCTTGTATCTTACATAACATGTTAAGGGATGGTTATTTGGAAAATAACAAACGCCCATACTACGAATATGATCATGATCATGACTTACCTTCCAACAGCATGTTATCTATACGTAGAGGAGGTGGATTTTTACACGCAAACGGATTCGAGGTGAGAGAACGATTTAAAACATTTTTTAATAATGAAGGATCAGTATCTTGGCAGAGATAATTTATATACATTTTATACTTACTTATAATTATTATTCTTAATATACTAAACTACGTAATATTTGTAATTAGGTAGTTATAATAAAACAATTTAGGTATTACACTGTAGTCATATTATGTTCATTAAATACTATATGAGAAAACAAAACAGTTATTACAGATATTTTTTAATAATTTTATTTTATGATTATGTAACACTATACTATAGAAATAAGTAGACAAATGTGTATTATATTATTTCTGCTTGTTCTATTTTTTTTTTTTTTTTTTTTTTTTTATTATGAATTATAATATAAAAAAATTACAGAAATGTAAATTATTATGTAAGTAACAATGGAACTGTATTTTTATTAAAATATAATAAGTACGCATTATAAAGATAGATTTAAATTTTATAAATTTAACCTGCAATCTATCCGGAATTATTATTTGGAATTATTGAAGTATGCCGGTGAAGATGTACTTTCCAAGTCGTTTTGAGGCGAGAATGTCAAGTGCGATGGTGCGATGGCTTGTGGGTTGATAGCTGTAGTGTATGAAATGGTAGACGATGAAGTTTGAGAACGGTCTGAGTCAGAGTATGAAATCGGCGATATGTTTTGTGTGTTAGGAACTCCGTAGTAATGTTGTTGGTTTTGTTGGAAGTTTTGAATCGGAAAAAAGCTAGGCGCACTAATTTGAGGAGGATTAGCATATTTTTCTTGAAGCTCATTTATAAACATAAGTGTCTTAATTTTAGCTTCATTAATGCCCATTGTCGGTAATTTTTTTACAGTAAGAGCTATGCTTTTAAAAAATAAATCAATGTCATCTTCTTCATTTTTATTGGCGTTTAAAAGTTGTTCATTTTGTTGTTGAATGCTTTGGATTATCATGTTTCGATCTTGAGTTTTTTTTGCCAATATCGCGGCTAGCTTATCCGTTTTTGATCTAGCACGATTACCCGCAAATGAGCACCCTGGTAAGTCAACATCATCTTTATTTGAATCATCAATATCAATCTCATCGTCAGTACCAACACTTCCATCTTCATTTAGTGGCGTATCAATGTTAGATGTAGAACTAAAAATATTAATGAAACTATTATTGTTTCATATTTAAGTTAAACGGGTTTTAAAAATAACTATTTACCTTCGCTCATTATTCACGGAGTTTAAGAATGATACGCGATCTGCCAAGATCCATTTTTTTTTAGATGATGAAGCAGATCCTGTTCCTAACTTCCTTTTATTTCTATTATACGTGTCTTTTATATTTTTCCATCGCCTCTTGCAATCGTCGACTGAAATAAATAATTTTACTATTGTATAGGTATAGATAAAGAAATAAATTAGGCATATTTTATTTTTTATTTCAATGACTTATTTAAGAAACGACGTAAGTCACAAAATTTCACAAATTGAGATAATGCGAGAACTGTGTTAACAAAATATGATAGATGCATATTCTATGAACATTTGAAAAAAATTTGTAATTTTAAGACTGTGGCGCCATTGTAACTAATCAGTATAAAAGAGAAATAACGTATTAATTTTCAAATCTTGGATTTAAAAAGAAAAATTGTCATGCATTTTTAATTATTTTGTTAAAAATAACTTGATGGCTTATAAAAACGTTATTTATAATGTTATAACGGAAAATAATGAAACAAAATAAACGATAAACGTATAGGCAAAGTTGGCAAACCTATGTTAACAGTAATTTATATTTTTGAAATACTTTATCCCTGTTTGATTAATAAATATTGAATTTAATAGAATATTAGTTTATTTTTGTGATTCAAATTTCAATAAGATACAAAATTGCGAGCGTGTGATTTGGTGTAGGCACCTACTAAATTTAATACTTATATAGTATTATTAAGCCATTTCAAGTTGAATTTTTGGTATGAATATTTTTTTAAATAAAATCTATTATTTCATCTTTACTTTATGGTCTTTATGCCAAAATATATTTAAACCATATTTGACGCCTAAAATTTTACTAACTTGCAAGTTATAGCTACCCTTACTAAAAATAATTCTACTAATTTGATAGTTCTTACACCACAGTGCGGTTAATTACCTGACCTATCTATACCGAAAATAACAATATAATTAATTTAAAAAAAATAATTAAACAGAAAACAAAAAATGTAAATAAGTTTAAAAACATAATATTGATAAACTGAAAAAATCAAATAACGTTTCAAAGCATAATAACAATAAACATTAAAATTGTATAACGTTTAAAATATTCAAAAAGGTAAAAAGGATATATATTTTTGGACGGATGTGATGGCCAAAATCGTAACTATACAGTGGTGAGATTTTTTTGTAGTCTTGCTGAAAAACAAGGCTCCCAAATATATTTATAATGCATTAAAAATTGTTATAAATTCAATACAATTTTAACAATATTTAATAATCAATAAGATTAGTTTATTGCAGTAACCTTTTTGTCCGTTTATTAAAGAAAAATTAAAATAATATTTTAATAATAATATTGTGTAGGCGTAATTCCAAGGGCTGACTAAAAGTGTCTTAGAATAAACGTAATGTGTAATTTGCCCAGTTCTTTCCATTAGACCTCTCGGTTTATAATCCACCATGTATCACTGGTAGCGTAAAAACAGTTTTTTATTGTTTTCTCCGAATTACCTTTTATTGACTTACGTAGTTTCTCAAATAGGTGGTTCACTTACGAACAATTGTCTTACATCAATTTGTACAACATTTTAATCACATGCGTAAAACAAAATCAAGAATGGTTAAAAGTAATAAAATATAATTTTATCAATGAAAAATGTTATTGAAATTATTTATAGATGTCTTTCTGCCATATTATATTTATAAATATTTCTGAAAATAACTTAACATGCTTGTAAACAGAAATAGAAACTTTCTAGTGTTCACTGTTCACGGTTTATTCATATTTCATAGTGTATTTTCCCAATATTCAGATTTCATAAATAATTGTTTGTAGGTACCTATTATTTGACATAGGTATATCATCGTACCTATACGTACGTCATATAAAATAAGTAGGTAGTACCTACGTAAAATTCTAACAAAAAATGCTAATCGATCTCAAACGTATATAATCATTGTCAATTATTTAAACAAATAAATTCTAACAATTGTTAATAAATTAATGTATAATAAAAAAAATTATTATATTATAGAATTTTTATTATTAAAAAATTATAATTGGGCCTCTGGACCAAAGCTATTATGTGCTACTATTTTTCCTTATCTACACGAACAGGTCGTGGGATTAGCTTTGCAAGTACCTATATTGGCTGTTCTTTTGACTTTTGTCACATTTACCGACGGCACCAATAACAAATAATTGTACAAATATACAAGCCCTATTAATTATGCATATTTTTTAGTCAAGTATAAATTTATGTGAACTGTTGTCTGTTATATATTGTTACCATTTTATATAGTGTGTACATTATAAAATACTGGAATATTTAAATTATACAAAAATACTTACTAGATCTTCCAACTTTTATGGAAATATCTTTCCATATCTCATCTTTCAAAATGATGTCTTTGTGACTTGTTTTTGATAAATCATACAGTACAGGATTATTACGAACTTCTTCAATCAAAACCTCTTCTTGATCAGGCAAGAATACAACTTTTGAAAGGTTTTGTGATTCAGCCATGGTGTTTAAAGTATAATATAAAGTATAGTATACAAATTTGAAATATAAATAGCAAAAGCCGCTGACGACTGTCGCTGTGCACTGCTTTCGAGTGAGTAGAGCCGCGGGTCGCAGCGGCCCATTCATAGTCGCAAAGCCGCAGTCGCTCATTGGACACCAGTCCATAGGAATTGTGTAAAAACAGTGTGGTCGCGACAGTCGCGACAGCCAGCCGCTGCGGCCAGCCGCGCCTTGGACACCGTACCTTTAGGTGGATGGGAGTCGCTGGAAAAAAATCGCAACACCAAAAAGCGTAACACCGAAAAGCGTAACACTGAAAAATTGCTCGGCTCGGCTCGGCTCTGCTCGGCCCCTCCCTCCTCTCATATTATCGTATGTCCCCACTAGGATCGTACCATCTGGCAACCGGGTTCCATTCGCGTAGGCTACCCAACATCGGTCGTCACGCGCGTAGAGGTGACCGTCGGGCGGAATGGGGGGGACCCATTAAACGAGTAATTATTTTTGACGAAGCATAACTTAGCCGGTATTCGACTTAGAGACCCCGGACCAATGGGCATCTCAATTTTTTAGGCCCCAGATGAATTTTCAACATTAGGGAACCAAAGCCCCCACCCCCCCACATTTTGAGTTGAGTGTAACTCGGCCGGAATTCAAGTTAAAGACCTCGGACCAAGGGGGAACCCATTCTTATTATGAAGACTACAGTTTTCCGCTTTAGGGAACGGGGGCACCTCCTCCCCCCTTTTGGATTTTGCTTTTTTGATGGATTTTGGTCCGGGAGAGTACTAACACCCACCTAGCCAAGGGGAAACTCGGGGTTTTGAGTTTTTGATGGGATTTATTTGGATTTTCATAAATATTGTTTTTATTGATAAGGAAAGTGATAAGAATTTTATTTTCAAAATAATTTTTGCCCCTTAAATTTATAAATTCCATTGTGATTTCCATTTACCTTCTTCTCTATATACATACAAATCTATTAAACAAATGAAATTAAAATTTACTTTTGAAAAACGATAATCGAGTACAAGCTGTATCAACCGTATCATTATTAAAATTTCTTTCAGTAGAATTGACTTAACCATCAATAGGTTTTTTTTTTTTTTCCTTTTATTGGATAACCCGCGGCAACATAGGCCATTGGGTGTTGGGAGGGAACTGTAGGTTTTTAGATTGGGTAGGTTGGTACACGTGTGTGTTTGTGGTGGCAGAATTTTTATTGGGGCACCCGTAGGTTTCTGCCATGCCCCGGGTTGGGGGATGGCGGCACTTGTACTCCGGACACCGTGACTTGCCCGGAGAAAAATGCCGCCCAGTGGTCGAGAGGCGAACCCGCGACTGCCAGCGCCGCAGTCGACGCGTTAGGCCTACTGATTAATTTCATAATTGCTTTGTACTTTTATAATGATTAAAATACCATTTTTTCATAATACTCAGAAAAAATTTATTATAATTTTATTACCATGCGCGCGATATATTTATACTAAGTAAAGTAGACTTTTTCCGAAGTTTGTCGTTACCTAGAGTCATTATACAAGCATTCATTTCTCTCTCTGTCTCTCTCTCTCTATCACTATTTATTTATATTTTTCTAACCATATATGTTTCCGCGTCTCGCATCACATGCACTGAACTTCGTTCCTGCCGAGTGTTCAACAACACTCACTGTTTTTATTTATCTTAATTGTAATTTTTCTAAAAATATATCAAATAATAAACGAGTAATAAATAAACTAAAATGTAAACGGGTTTGTGACTGAAAAATATTAATATTGACTGTGTTCATTTTAAGTAAGATAATCTTTTTGGTTAGTATTTATATTATGTCACACAAAACGATAGCTCCTATTGCTTTGAGTTAAAAATAAGTCAATTATTATTTTATTTTTGTTTAGTATAACCAGGGGTACGACACTCTCACAATTCCTAATGCTATTTGAAAAAAGTGGGGACACGGCCTTGAACTCATGGGCACTGCCATTTTGTTATTTATGAGAATCAGCTGACGGCTCATATCATATATTTCAATAATTGATAGTTGATACTTGATACCATTATGATAACACAGAAATGATAATAAATTATATTATAATTTATAATTTATGTCGAACGTGAAATGCGAAAAATTATAAGTTAATAGTTGTTGTTGGGTAGCCGTAAGCCATATAGGCATAGAACGGTTAGGTTATAACTTAAAGTATTAAAACGCAAACAAACAACAAACCGTTTATTGTAAAAAAAAAATCGTTCATAACAACACTCCTAAACCACCAGGTAATCATTTACAACTTCAACACTAAACCACCAGACATCGACCACCAAGCAGAGTGTCGCTTCTGTATTGTTCTGTGGTATAACATGTCATCGATAGTATCATAATCTGTTTAGAAATGTTATTAAATTGATCTTCAATCACACAAATTGTACTGAAAAAATGAGCGGACTCGTTAAAATATGAATCACTATACGTATATACTTTATATATAATTAAATACTCGATAATTTCGTGTATTAATAATTACATCGAAAGGCCATAGTCTTAGGAAATAGTTTGCTCGCACAGATTATCCCGGAGTATTAGGACGTGTTGCGGTTTGTGCCCGAGTTATGCATGAAATAATAACGTCAGATCGGAAACCACCGCCAGCAGCACCCTATGTAATACGCTATACGCATCTCTCCGTCTCGCAAACCACCCCTTTCTCTTTTTCTTTCTCATCCGGGGGGGGGATAGTGTACACACACACAAACACTTACACTCGTGTATATATTTACGTAAAGTCGCTCACGGAGGCAGGAAATTACAACCTTGCAGCAGTAGTATACCTACACCCCCAAGCCCATGCAGCAAGTCCGTCCAGCCGCCCCGCAACCGCGCCTCCATCCGGAGGGATCGCAACTATTCGTGTGGGGGTGGAAACAAACGGCATGGTAAATGTGCTGTCGAATTTAGAACGCTAATTTCGAGCGGATATTTAAACGCACATCAAACGGTTGACTTGCGTGCTGGTATTCCGATTCTATCGCTCGGGACGTTGCAAATCTATATATTGCCGTCAAGCTTCCTCCTCCTCGTCGTCGTCGTCGTCGTCGTTAACATCGTTAAAACGTCGCGACTAATTAAAATTGTTTGATACATCTCGACGACGACGGGATCGCGGCGTCGAGTTCAAACAAACGCCGACGAAATTTCAGACACGTCGAAATATATTTTCTTTCCGACGGCACATGATAATGCCTTAAAATACATACCTACGTCATAAACGTGTATACCGTGTGTGCGACGGGTGTGTATGGGTGAGTGGGTGCGTGAGTGGTTACAAGCGCTCGTACACTGTTGATTGTCATAGTTTACAATATCACTAGAAAAGATGTACAATTGAAATACGGTGATAATTGATATTGCAGTCATACAATCACTAATTGTCGTCGAGAATATTTCATTTCATGACAGTTTATAAACAACCTATATTAGATAAGTTGGTAGAGCCACTAGAACAAATTAAAACAAGGTTCAAATATAGTCGGCCATACATACTAGATTATTTGAAAAAAAAAAAAAACTCGTTTGCCTTTAAAAATAAAAAAGTAAAGAGTTTAAAAATAACTAGTTTTGTTAGCCGTCGTTATATACACTAGTCAAGTTGATGAAATATTGTAACTTAATATATACTAATATAAAATATCATAAAAGGTATAATAAGTACGAACAGATTGGCGTAATATTTTTCACAAGTCTGAACAAATGTTTAGTATTTTGGCTTGTCATCTATTTTATAAACAAGTTATTTTATGCTTAGACAAACAGTGTAATATATTATATTCACGTTGGACTAGTATTTATCTTATAAGTACTTACATTATTAGATATTATATTGGATGAAATAAACTTGAATAGGCAATTCGATTAACACCGCACAACTATATGCATCTATAATAAAATATAATGTTTTTTTAAACACCTACCAAACAATATCACAATATTTTGATTTAAATCGTTAGCTTTTACTCAAGCTATGGTAAACATGTATAATAGGTGTGTACATTTTTTTGATGGATAATTTAAATTCTGGTCTTATTACCATTTATTACCATATTTTGAAATCGGATATAACGAGCTGTATATAAATAAATTGTAGTTAGAATAATAATCTGTACGATTTAAATCGCATGGTATGAAATTAATATCATTTTGGCAACACGAACCGCAACAGCCGTCGGAGAAGACAAACTGCGACAACACATTACGTTATGGATCCGTCGCAAATGGGGTTATACCCTTTATTAATATTAATTAGCATAAATACATTGAAAAAAGCGAACTCTGCAAAAAACACAACAGCAGCCGAAAATCTCGAGTGAAACAATCCGCCCCCTCCCCATTTTCTGCAGAAACTATATATATATATATATATTCGATTTATGAAATTTTAATTTAATCTCCGACTTCAATATTATTTTTATACTATAAATCTCGATGGCAATATGTCTTGTGCATACTGTCGTAATAATATTATTATTATAATCGTCCGGATGCCGAAGCGCCATCGGTGAAACACCATCTGTGCAACGGGGGTGGTGGCACAGTGGTGGCACATCATACAATTATTATTATTACTTACTGTAAAATATATAACGCGATATTATAATATTATATTATATTATATCACTGCATAGGGAAGGGGACTCCGTCGTCAGTCGTGTGGAGACCAGTGACCGAGAAAACGGCGGCGGTGGAGGGACAAAAACGCAATGAAAAATGTAAATTCGAGGAGAGCTGCTCGCGATATATGCTCAGCCCCCCGTGGGAAATACACGCCGAAACATCCGCTGCCCCCCCCCCCCTAAAGCACCGTCGAAACTTTTGATCTTAATTTCCCCTTTGACGCGCGCACATCGCTCACGGTATAATAATTTACAAGCCGGTATATATTACACGGTATATAGCCCAAATCCCGCGACCTGTCCCGGTCGCGTTAACCAGCTATGCGTAATTA